TCATTCTTATTTATTTCTTTATGACTGTAATAGATAGTTTTGAAATTTTCATCCTAGTTGCTCAATCTGATGAGATTTTGTTTTACCTTCACAGTAAGAATTGATATTTTTGAAAAGATCACATTGGTGTAAATAATTCTGGATTCTCATTTCAGTACCAGGTTTTTTGTTTGTTTGTTTGTTTAAGTTTTATGAAGCCTTGGATCAAACTCTGTCCTCTGGTTTTTCATTTTTTCCTTTCTTTGGTGGTTGGGTGGAGGAGGCAAGGAGGGATGAACATGCTTTTCCAGGTTACAAAGAAACTGTCATTTTTTAGGAATCTCTAATCCCTCGGGCATGATTCTGGGAGAGCTGAAAAGAGTGCACCCGTCTAGGAGTATGGAGACCTCGGGATTGGGTTAGCTCTGCAGCCGTGGGCGAGACACTTAACTGCCTAGGGTCTTAGTTCTTACCTGAAACAGGAAGCAGTTAAAAATTATTTGGTTAATATTACATGCTAGCTTTTAAACTCATAATTCCAACTCCTACTTTTGTGATATATTCACCAATGTTATATTTCAGTGGTATGATGTTGTGAAGTATTTTAAAAGTATGCTTTACAAGGATTTAAGATCACACCGTCCCATGCCATGAAGACTGCCTATGCTGAGAAATAACATTGGGGATAGTTGTCTTTAAAGGACTTGATGTATTTATAGTGTTTGTTTTGATAACATTTGGTCAGACCATTTTAATAGTTGGAGGTGGGAGGAAGTGAAAATGAAATTTTTGTGTAGGTTTTTAAAAATTACCTAGTATTTCTTTAGCTTACTAGTGAAATATGAACTATGAAGGCCTTAATCTTGTACAATAAACTTTTACTTGTACTCTATATATAATACTTCATTTATTGGCCCATTGTCCTATCATCAAACATGCTAGTCTAGAACACACACAGAAAATAAAACTGCGAAGATGCTTTCCTAGTATTATTTTGGAGCAGCCAATGTAGAGAAACAGTGAACTATTTTAATAAAAGCAAAGAAGAATTAAATAAAAAAATATGTTACTCCTGTTTCTTTATGTCATGCAACATATTAGACCATATCAGTATGAAATGGTTGGAAGAAATAATCTTGTCACAATTCCAAAGGCTTGGGAAGCACTGCTCTCACTAAAGTGACTCTTCCCACTTGCAATCATGTGCCACACAAGGATGTTTTGGCCCCAGACAGATCACGTATATGACTGTGGCCCTATTAATATTATAATGGAGCTGGAAAATTCCCATTGCCTAGTGATGTCATGGCCATTGTAATGTCCTAGCATAGCACATTACTCACGCATTTGTGGTGGTGCTGGTGTAAACAAACACACTGTGCTACCAATCACATGAAAGTACAGCACGTACCAATTATGTACTGTGCACACTACTTGATAACGATAATAAACAACTATTTTACTGGTTTATGTATTCAATATACTACATTTTTTAACATTATAGTGCAGCCTTTCTACTTATTAAAAAAGTTTGCTGTAAAACAGTATGCTGTGTTATGTAGGCAACAGACTCACGCACCTCAGGTTTACTGCGTTTCTGGATTGCATCATTCTCCCTTGTGCTTCATTTAGTTTCATGTTGTTTTGCACAGCAACATGCTGTAGAGGCTTACAGCCTAAGGACATAGGCTGTACCACAGAGCATTGGTGTGTAGTGGGCTCAGTGATGTTCAATGTTAAGTACACTCTGTGGTGTTGGCACAATATTGCCTAATGACACATTTCCCAGAATCTATCTCTGTCATTAAGCAGTGCCTGACTATTGTGTGTTCTATGTCCATCAATAATCTCATCTCTTTTCAACTAAGGACAGAGGTACTATCATCTTCCAGCTTCTGTTTCACTGTCTCACCAGGGTTTTCTCACATTCACCTGGAGACCTTTCTGGTATTTCACTGAAATGGAATTCATCTGTGTAAGTGCGGGCTTTGGGGAAAGGATCTGTGATGGTATGGTGCCCATCCAACAGCGTGGAGTGATGTTTAAGATCTCCAGGCCACCGTGGGGATGATCAGTACTCCAGACACGACTGGCAGAGCTAGGTGGAAACACTCCCTGTCTGGTCCAGAGCACACTGTCATTAGCTTCACCACCTCTCCTTGCTATTCCCAGAGCCCTGCTGATGAGACAAGCTGCTCGGCGACAACCAGGATTGGGACACTCTGTTTCCTCGTAGGAAGAATGGGAAACACGTGGCCTGGGCTCAGTATCCTCTCAGTGGTCTCCACCTTGATCTCACGCTCAGGGTTTCTAACCTGGAAATTCAAGTTGACCTAAAAATACCTGTAGGCCCAAGATGGCAAGCTTCCCTCAACATCTTCATTTGATTTTACCCTATTGTTTAGACAGGGCCAACAGCCAACATTTAATAGCAAGAATCTAGTGTTAGCATTCATATTTTTCTGAAATGTAATTCTTTAAATATATTAAAGTTTGCTCCACTGGGTATAATCTTTTATTATACAATTCAGGGCCAAAATAATTTCATTTTGAATGTATCTTTAAAATTAAAATAACTAAACTATAGAACCTTAAAATGTTTGCTCTATTCAGTATAATTTTAATTAACGACTCAGGGCCAAGATAACTTCAATCTCATAAATCTCTAAAACTATAAAGTGAGTCAATGGGAAAGTAAGCAGATTAGTGTAAAAGAATTTAAGGATTCACACTACATTTTTAGAAATTTCTGAATTATATAAAGTGGAATATGCCTCTAACCACATTGGAGAAGGAGCTCTGAAAAAAAACTACACTTAAAACATGATCTCTCTACTGCCTTTTCCTCCAAAAATATAATAACAGTATGATTTTTAAATAAATGAGAAGAAAAACTTTTGGAACACTTTACACATCTTACAAATAATAATGTATTAAATGTTGCTACAGCAGGCCATTGTACTCAGACGGCTCATATCCACTGACCACTGGCATGTGGGCACCTTTGAAAAGGGATGCGGCAGTTTTAAGAGCCAGGAACATTGGAAAGCAGATTTTAGAATTGGAAAATAACTTCCCCATCTAAAACAAGGGGAGAAATTTAGGTAAGCGGAGAGTAATTACCCAACTTGGAATCTGACCAAGACACAGGGCAAACACTGAAAGAGTGCCACACCACGGGGGTATTAAAATTCAAAGTAGTCTGGTCGTGATATTAGAGGTTATGTGTTTTTTTGTGGATACCTCTGGAATTTGAACTAGAACCCAGTTTACAGCTCTCATTCAGAGTCTTTCATCAGTTTCTGATCTTGGAAACTCTGGAAGAATGACTCAGTCTTCTTGTGTCTCTCATTTCTCAATTGATTTGCCAGAGAAGTGTCTGCCTAATATGCTCAGAGTATACTAGGATTATTGGAAGAAAATACATAAGGGGGTTTACTATCTTGAAACACTGAATAAATCTACATCATCATGTCATTTGATTGAAATATTGGCAGTGATTTGGCCCAAGCTAATCCGTGAATCCACTTAATATGGAAATGATTGTAGCACCTAAAGGATCTATATCCTTCACCCCTGGTCTCAGTTCTTTCTATGTCGAATTATATTTAGATGAACCAGCTAATGAACTTCCAAGCCCAGTTAAGGATAACTACAGGCCGGTAGGACAATCATGAACATATATAGCAATTGTATTCTTCCTGTTGTAGAGTAGTGTTATAAATGCTGCAGACTATAATATTTTTTTAAAAAATCAATGAATAGTTAAAAATATACTCACTACATGGAACATAGCCTTGGTAAAATGTTTTCAATTTTGGGAGCCTGCAAACAATTCTATTACTGTCTAGTAGTTCCTCAGCAATAATTTCAGAGCCACAGGATTGCAAAGGAGCCCAGAGCCATGATTATACATAAACTATATTTAGATGAAATGTTATCAAATCTAAAAAGGAGATATGTTCTGAACTCAGCTTAATTCACTGCACTCTGCCCTTCCACACAGTAACCAGTTATTACATTCATGGGGTTGTTAACAATAAAGCTTTGTGTAAAACGTGTTCTTCCACTATTTCTGGTAAACACTAAATACTCCTTATTAAGCCAAGGACTTTGGCTGATTCTGTTGGCATCAAATCATTAAATGTTCGTGTAAATAGTGCATTAACATTTGATGATTCAACAAGTAACAAGCTATGCTTATGCCAGGCTAATCTTTGCTCTTTCTAAATTAGTTGTTAATACAGTGAGCTTCTTATATACAGTCTCATGTTTAGACATCAACTAAATCTTTCCCTAAGATGCATTAATATTTTAAACATGCTGTAAACTGTCTTATTGATTCATGGTCATTTCTGCAAGAAATTATAAGTCCTCTCAAAATATGCAATTCACTTATTTCATCACTTTGCCTGGGCAATGATGCAAGTCTTTGTGTAAGTAGAAATGTTTGTTGTTGTTTTTTTATGGAAAAAAATGAGCATAAAGTCAAGCCAACAGATCTATCATTGGCAATTGCTGTTGAGATGGCTGTTGCCGTTGCTGGGTTCGCACAACAGTTGTTGGTGTGAACTGCTTAGCTGTTAGTAATATGTGAGAAGAAACAAACTATCTGGGAGGGAGTTCGAAGACTTGAAAATCTTTTTGGAAATTTGGTGAGAAAACAACTGAAAATTATACTTTAATCATCAGTGTTTACTGTTTTCAGAAATGTACTGTAATCTTGTATAAGCAATTTTAGTGTGACAAGACACAAAGTCTTTATTTTTTTTTGGTTTTAATGCTGAATGATTTTTTAAACTGGAAGCACACATGACTCTATGTGCTCTTAGTGGATCTATTTTGTGGTCTCATTGGGTCTCAGATGACTCAACTGAGAATAACATGGAGATGTAAAATTGAACTCCATTATAAGCACCGCTCTTGCTGACTGAATGTAGGTATTACTTACGGACATTAAGGATGAGGTTGGCTAATTAACCAGTAATGAAGTAAGTGAGCACACTATCAAGGCTCAGTACCTGAATGCCGATTAAAATGTCATCTGTGACTTGAGCCAGCACTGATTTTACATCTTCAATAGTGAAACCAACCAAATCATCTGTGTCTGAAGCACTGGCTTTTGGCTGGGAGTCCTCAGGGCCTTGTTCTTGGTCCAGTCCCTAGAATATGGAAAGTAAACAAAGCTCAGGTGATTTCTGGAGCACTCAAGGATTGCTATGAGGCCTCAAACTTCTCCTGGGTGATTCTCTACCAGGAAAACGGTCCATCTGTCAGGAGGTTGTAATTTGACATCATCCTGCATTTTCATTATTTATAAGTATCCTGACAGATCATGTCATGGTGCTAACAGTGCTTACTTTTGGGAAAGTGAAGGCAGAGATTGGGGAAAATGGAGTGGGAAAGATTAAAATTGCTGAGCCACCCTTGACTGGCCCACCTGTGAATCAATGGCAAAACAAATACATTTAGCTGGGAAAAATCAGAGTGAGAGAAAATAGAAAAGTAATTGCATCCTTTCCTCTCAGCCATAGGGAATACTATGCTGAGAGAGGGTGAATTAAGACACAAAAGGAAACATACCTTCATTTCTGTATCCAGTGTTGGGGGTGGCTCTATGAATGCTGAATAAATATCAAAAGAGATTCCTTCTTCTAGAGGGTTGGGGAAAAGGCCACCTGAAGGCTTGACAGTTTCTATCATTTGCTGAAGGGGAAGAAAAGAGCTGTACTATGATAAAGCCTTTTGTGTGTAACCACAATTTACCATTTCAGCTCTGTATCAGATAATTAGCATTTTCTTCTACCCACTGTTTAATTCCTTTTCTATACTAATGGGTTAGGACTTCATTCTGTACTTCTCTGAGCTTTAATTGTTCATGAGTCAGTGTCCCCTTCTTAAGCTTGCTGCTTACAAGCTCTGTAGGTAGAGACAGTGTTTTAGATATCCTGTACATTTTCTCCAATTTCAGCAGAAGGTTATATGTTTAAAACATTCAATAACAGCCTGATGATTTTCAATATTACTCAGCAAGATATACAAGTAACTTCTCGGAGGCAATAGTAAAGTGCTCATCAAGAACTTGATAATGAACTTGATAACATCACTAAAGGTGAATGTATGAAACTGGCACACAGTAAATCAGAGATTCTTATAAAACCAACCAGAAACACTGAGGGCAAGGCAAGATTTCACTGGGAGCATTTCATAATTCTGCAGCAAGAGTGTGTCAAACAGAAGAAGGGTGATGATGGTTGGTTAACAGTGGAAAGCAGAAACAGGAGTTGAAGAAGTCAACTTAAGTGGTGTCCATCTCACCAGAGAGAAAGAGGAGATGATTGCACAATGTCATTAAACATCTGAATCATTTTATTAGCTCCTCTTGTTCTAATTCCACATTGAACAATCAACATTTTGATCATAATCTGACTGTGTATCTCTCAAATGATCTGTAAAGATATATCCACTTCAGTGCTCTGATTCTCATGCTTATTGCATTTCTTACCATAAATCCATAAATTGATGTTCTAGTTTATATAGTAAGCTCCATAAGCCCGTTTTTGTAGCTTGAGATGAGCACACTAACTCCATGCTGACAAAGTCAACTCTGAGCCTACAGGTTTGAAGACAGTATTATGAAAATGTATATATTCAAATCATTACCATTCCATGAGGCCTGAAAAAACCCTAAAAATATCATACATTCATTTCTAATTTCACATAAACTTACACATTATAATATTTCATCATTTAAATGTTAATATTTATTTTCACCTAGAGAAGTTTTGAAATGCACTGGAGGCTCAGTTACTGCTTGGCCATACCAATGTATTTTACATTGAATTTATACTTTATTTTATTTTATTTTATTTTACTTTAATTTTTTAAATGGTAATATGATTCATTAATATTTAAAGATTTTATTTATTTATTTTTAGAGATGGGGGAGAGAGGGAGAAAGAGAAGGAGAGAAACATCAATGTGTGATTGCTTGTTGCACGTCCCCTACTGGGGACCTGTCCTGCAACCTAGGCATGTGCCCTGACTGGGAATTGAACTGGCAGCCCTTTGGTTTTCAGGCCAGTACTCAATCCACTGAGACACACCAGTCAGAGCCATATTTTTAATTTTAATTTGATTTTATAAAAAGTTGCTGTTTAGTATATATACATAGAAGAACTGAAGTGTCTTAACTTTACAATCAAGTAACTTCGGAAACCAAGAGGTTAAACAACTGGCTTAGACAAATAGTTACTTAGTGACAGGTCTGGGAGTTAAACCCCGGTGTGCCGACTTCTCGGCCTATCCAGTTTTCAGTAAACTGTAATATGTCATCATGTTGCCATACTTGGAAACTATTGATATTATTAAGCACTTAATCTCTATTCTGTTAGATGACATCATGCCAGATTGTTTATCTTAAGTTGACTAAATACTAATCAAAATAGAATATCAAGAAACATATCAGAATGGTTCTTTTCTCTCATCACATTCATAAGCCTCTTTTTTTTTTCCTAGATGGAACATACAAGCATTTGCAGCTTCCTACCAAATTATTTGCACCTTTTTTTTTTCACCATGATTGTTTCTTCATTCTCCACCTTATCTTGCTCTTTATTTTACCAAGCTAGGGAAATGGAACAGCTAAATATATTTTAGCGTCCTCTGAAACACTGCAGGTAAAATAAATAGGCTACACAAGGGAATACAGAGACAAAGGAAGATGATCGGTGGTACAGGCTGTAAAATAGGGTGAGAAATAGAAATTTAGGGGGAATGGTGGTGAGTGACACATTGAAAAAAGAATAGAGAAAGGAACTGAATGGAGGTTACTGACTTTACTGCAGGTATTGAGCAAGCAAGCGAGAGCCCATCTACAAGGTACAAGTATGTCCTCTTAATGAAGCCAAATTTTCTTAGTTGCTTTTGCCATGTTTGTCTTGCTGCTATGCTTTTCCATGCACCAGCTGGGCCTTTCTGGTGCTTTTCTCTCACCTCTTGGTGGAAGTTCTCAATAAATTCCCTCTCCATCCTGTCAGGAGCAGATTATACCATCTGCCCATCTAACTGCACCTCTTCTTCCATCGGAGTATACACGTAAGTGTAAACAGATATTTGTGTTCAAATCTCTTATTTTATCCTGCATACCCCTGTGGACTGGATTTCTTTATAAGGCTAATCTGAATTACTTGCCAATTACCCAGTTTTCCTGGCCTTTGGCACTGGGGTGTGTGTGTGTGCACTGGGCACACACTCGGAACTTGGAGTGCCTCACTAGGGCCATGGCACTTTGGTGAAATGAAGCTCCGTTTATCTTCCAGACCTGAAGCTCTGACTAAGAGTCAGCTTTTCTTTTCCTTGACTTTTATGAGTTTAGCTTATATAGCTGGCCACTTGATTTAATTTGTGCGCAAAGCTGAGGGTGACCACTTCTTTTCTTCAGGGTGTCTGGCACACCATCAGTGAACTAAGCCGTGGCTACACTTTTCTCTTTCAGGAAGAGCTACATTTGTCTGAGTTAGGAAGATACTGAAAGGGGAAAAAAGGACCCTAATTTCAGATGAGAGTAAATATAAAGTCATTTCATTAATAATATGAAGGTATACAGTCAAATATATAGATTGAAATAAACATAGTTCCCAGAAGCATAACAGTAATTTTTCCCCATGAAGTAGTATTTTTAAAAAAACAAGTTTAAGAAAAATTAGAATCAATAATTGTGGTGAGAGCACAGAGCCAGCAAATATGTTTAAATGAAACCGTCTGATGCAATACTTTCTTTAAAAAAATACAATTAGGCCTTTGTATTTTTTTAACAAAACCTCATGTTTTACAACATCACTGGTTCTGTAATAAAATCTATTTAAAACAGAGAGACATGGTCAGCTTTATTAAGTTAGATTTTCTGAAAGAACGTTATAATTTCCTCAAGTCTATGAATAGTTGAAGCAAATTAAATAAAGCTAGTTTTATAACTATTTTTATACATTCTTGTAGAATTGTAATTGTCTCATATTTTTTCCTCTAAAGTCTAATATGTTACCTTTTAAATCTAGAAAAATAAAAACAGAAAGAGGATCAAGTATGTTTATTAAAACAACACTCCTATTTGGAACCGTGATTTAGCAACCCTCCCTTCTTCTGTAAGAGAATAGCACCCATAATCTTCAGATCGAGAAACAAAGGGAAGACTTTAAGTGACTTGCCTGAGGCCTAGTGCTGAGATTAAAACTCAGGAGTTTCTGATTATACACATACATCCATTTGGCCAAATGATTGGTTTTGCTTGACTTTCAAATACCCCCTAAATATTACTTTGAATGTAAAGCAATAAATGTGTTTCTCTTGCCATTTTTGAATGCTTGCACACAAATGGATATAATAAAAAACAATCATGTTGTTCCATGTGAATGCCGTTTATATTTTTTCAGATAATGAGCAGACCATTTGAACCAAGGTGAGTACATTAAAAGCTATAATAAAGAAGAGAATAGATTTCTAAACTGAATAATTGGCTGTTAAGGGAACATACAATAAATAACATCTACAGATGTGGTCACTTGAAAATTAGTTTTAGATAACTTACCGATATACCTTCCCCCAGATGTTATCTGTTACATGAAAATTAACTTAATTTAGTTATATTGTTCATTATGTGTACATTTCATTAGTGTTATTTAAGACAGTTTACAATCTGAGCTTTAGCTGAGGCATGCTATGGTATTTAAAGAATATCAAGTAAATAGATTTTTGGCATAATTTAATACCCATAAGAACCAAGTTTCATTATCAACCATTATGTAGCTTTAAAAAAATTCAAGATCTTTACTAGCCAAATAAAGTTACTAGAAATCTTTTGAGTTTATATCTTCAGTATGAAATGGACCTCTAGTGTGGGAATAAGTGATAAGAATTTTGAAGCCTTCTGGAACAAAGTACAGGGTCAGTTTAGGTCTAAAACCATACTTATAGGAATTAAAATCTGCTTTCAGATCTTACTGTGTCAAAGAATTATAAAGCTTTTATCTGAAAAATATGTTACTTCATGCTTTCTTTTTCTACTTTATATGATAACATTATTAATCCTATTAACTCTGACTTATTGTTTCCTTTTGTTGTTATTTGGTTTCTGTTTTTTGTTTTTGGGGTTTTTTTTTTTGCTATTTATCTTGTTTATTATTTTCTCTGGAGAAAGTATAGGTGATTTGTGGGTAGTGTTTGTACTGCTGAAATCTATGATTAAAGTGTCAATTACTAAATTATTCGAGACATTAAAAATGTCATTCAGATGACAACTTTCCACTGTTTTGAATGGCAGACAGCAAGATAAATCTGTTAAACCCTTTTGGAGCTACAGGAACACATACAAAACTCTGGTTTGCTTTAAAAAGACATTTGTTTGGAATTGTCAAAAGATGACTTCATATGTAAATCAGAACTTACTAAAAAATGTCAAAAGTTTCAAAAAGTAAACTTTATTACAAACTTTTCCCAATACCAAGGAAAAAAGGAACAGAATTCCTGCAATGATTTAAGTATTTTTCCCCCACAAGAGAAAGGCATTGCTGATTTGCAAGTCTAATTAAGAAGTACTTGAGTGGTTCTGGAAATTTTTAACAAAAAATTGTAATCCACTGCCCACAATATACTGCACATAAAGTAACAACATATGAATGCCACCTGCAAAATGCAGTAAGCCCTGGTAA